TACAGTACCGGTCTCGAGTAAAGTACCATCCACTCGCTCTATACTCGAGAGTGCGATTATCGAGTGACCATCGTTACTCGCGAGTCATGCATAACAAATTATTCATAAAAGCGAGTGTAATCGAGTGGCTTCCACTCGAAAGACTTTCGAGTGTCGAGTGTAGTTTTACAAACAATTTCTGTTGAAGTGAACGATTAATGAAAAGTCAAAATTTAAATTCTAATCGGTCGCTTTTATATTAGCGAATGATCGGCAAGATCGTACGTCGGCAAGATGTCAATTCAATGTCATATAAATTTAGGTTACACGACAATGTCACGCCGTCTCGTCATACTGTCTCGTCATTCCGCTGTCTAGGCAGTGTTAAAGCACTTTGGGAAGCTTATTTGTTCTGTTTTCTTCCACAATTCAGTATTTTTTGTTATTATCAAAGCATATTTTATCAATTTCTGCAATATATCGTTATGTTCTTCAAACTCCGTAACAACCTATGATTAACTTTTCTAAAATGAAAGCATGAGAAACCGCTTTTATCTCTTACTGTTATCATGATCGTAGCTGATTAAAATATTTAGTTGTTTTGGCGACTAGCCAAAAGAGAACAAATTTGTTCAAACACTTATCCTGACAAAATTMTGATTAWACCTACTTCAGCTTTATGAAGGATAGTATAAACCTTAGTAGCTTAAAGAATCTTGTAAAAACAGTACGATTCGGTTGTTTTAATTTTTGATAGAATAATTTAAAGTAGATGAAACAGGTTCAAAAAGCCGTGTTGACCTGAGCGGCATGGGAAAGGCGAGATTAGTCTCAAAACACGCTTGGRAATATCTTCGTGYAGATTCACAGTTTGCTGGTGTTTAGTATGGTTTCTTATTCGTTCACTTTCGCTGTAACAGGTAATCATYAAAGGCCAGTTCATTTTTGCTTACAAGTGAAGCATACTAATAACCAAAGCAAAATTGTCATAGCYGCAATCAAACTATTTTGTAAACTTTCGTGTGAATTTGATTCCGTAATTTAAGTTCAAAGCGCTCCACTCGAAACACTCTAGAGTCTCGAGTAAAGAGTGAAAGCGAGTGGCATTGTTTTCGCTGMCTCATTAACTGTGATTGTTTCACTCTATACTCGAAACTCGCGGTCCATATCGAGTTCGAGTACTCGAGAATGGATGGTACTTTACTCGAGACCGGTACTGTAAAGTATAAACTGAAAAATTTATGTAGGGTCAGCATGCCACAAGAAACTAACAGATATGATAAGTAGACCACGGCTACTTGCTGCAATTCGCAAGCTTTCAAAATATCACCAAACGTCTGAACTGGAAGCAAAGCATTCCTTGGATAATTTGCTTGCTCCAAAAAACACGTACTTTTCATATCATTCCCTCAGTGCAAGGTAACATTCTAAATTTATACAAATAAATACATTTCAAATTTGTATCTTTAATACACTTTGTAGCAAACAAGGTTGTCGATCTTTAATGAATCATAAAACACCTGATAAAAAAAGACACGATTAATAGGCGATTTGCATTATGGCGTCATTTACTACAACTACCAGAATGCTTTGCCCACTTTCTTTTGTAATGCAATTAGTGCCAATTGTTTTACTAATCGCTAAGGGGATTAAAAATCTGAATAACAAAGAAAATGCGCAAGGCTTTCTGGTAGTTGTAGTAAAGTTACGCCATCATGCAAATGGCCTATT